CCTGCCACAGATGCAGGTGAAACGTCAGGAGAGAATGCTTCTAGAACATGGCCATATAGCCCAAAAGAACCTACAACCACCCAGTGATTCCGGCCATGAAAGCCTTTGACAATACATAGACCTCACAACCTCTGAGGATGCCTGCCATAGATGTGGGAGAAACGTCAGGAGAGAATGCTTCTAGAACATGGCCGTATGGCCCAAAAGATCTACAACCACCCAGTGATTCCGGCCATGGAAGCCTTCAACAATACATAGACCTCACAAATTCTGAGGATGCCTGCCAAAGCTTTCAACCTCACAACCTCTGAGGATGCCTGCCACAGATGTGGGAGAAACGTGAGGAGGGAATGCTTCTAGAACATGGCCATATAGCCCAAAAAAACCTTCAACCACCCAGTGATTCCGGACATGAAAGCCTTCGACAATACATAGACCTCACAAACTCTGAGGATGCCTGCCATAGATGTGTGAGAAACATCAGGAGAATGCTTCTAGAACATGGCCAAATGGCCTGAAAAACCTACAACCACCCAGTGATTCCAGCCATGAAAGCCTTTGACAATGCATAGACCTCCCAACCTCTGAGGATGCCTGCCATAGATGTGGGAGAAACGTCAGGAGAGAATGCTTCTAGAACATGGCCATATAACCCGAAAAAACCTACAACAACCCAGTGATTCCAACCATGAAAGCCTTCGACAATATATAGACCTCACAACTTCTGAGGATGCCTGCCATAGATGTGGGAGAAACATCAGGAGAGAATGCTTCTAGAACATGGTCATATGGCCCAAAAAATCCTACAAGCACCCAGTGATTCCAGCCATGAAGGCCTTCGACAATACATAGACCTCACAAACTCTGAGGATGCCTGCCAAAGCTTTCAACCTCACAACCTCTGAGGATGCCTGCCATAGTTGTGGGAGAAACATCAGGAGAGAATGCTTCTAGAACATGGCCATATAGCCCGAAAAAACCTACAACCACCCAGTGATTCCGGCCATGGAAGCTTTCAACAGTACATAGACCTCCCAACCTCTGAGGATGCCTGCCATAGATGTGTGAGAAATGTCAGGAGAGAATGCTTCTATCTAGAACATGGCCATATGGCCCGAAAAACCTACAACCACCCAGTGATTCCGGCCATAAAAGCCTTTGACAATACAAATAATGAATGAATGAATGAAAACAAAAAAGAGGGCAACTTGACCCTCTTATTTAAGGACGAAAGGAAAATGTGCAGGGAGGGAGGCCCTCGGGCACTGAGTGCACATTTCTGATAGAATCATAGAATAATAGATGTATTGCTGTGAGTTTTCTGGGCTATCTGGCCCAGAAGCATCCCCTCCTGACGTTTCACCCGAATCTATGGCAGACATCCTCAGAGGTTGTGTGGTCTGTTGGAAACTAGATAAGTGAGATTTATATGCCTGTGGAATAATGTCTAGGATGGGAGAAAGAACTGTCTGTTTGAAGCAAGTGTGAATGTTGCAAATGGCCAGCTTGATTAGCATAGAATGGCCTTGGAGCTTCAAAGCCTGACTGCTTCCTACCTTTGTTGGGATGTGTTAGCTGGCCCTGATTTTTCCCTGTCTAGAATTTCCTTGTTTTTTGAAACACAGCATTGCCCAAACACGAACCAAAGAGCATGAAAAGTGCTGCAGACTGTAACCAGAGAAGTCAACCATATTAGAGGACCTGATTGATTGATTTATTTATTTGGTGACAGGAGTGACTTGAGAAACTGCAAGTCGCTTCTGGTGTGAGAGAATTGGCTGTCTGCAAGGACGTTGCCCAGGAGACACCCAGATGTTCTGATGTTTTACCAACCTTGTGGGAGGTTTCTCTCATGTACCCGCATGGTGAGCTGGAGCTGACAGAGGGAGCTCAGCCGTTCTCTCACCAGATTAGAATTTCTGACCTGTCGGTCTTCAGTTCTACCGGCACAAGGGTTTCACCCAAACAGAGGATTAAAATAAGATAGGAGAAAAGAAGACCAAAATAAGATAGGAGAAAAGACTGAGAAGTGACGTGTTTAAATATTTGGAGATAGTTGTCTCTTCCAACACTCTTATACTATGACTGGCCATCCCCTGCCAGGTGTTGCTCTGGCCCAGTCTGTGTATATGTGTTTTGTGTGTGTGTATATATATGTGTGTGTATATGAGTATGTATGTGTGTTTGTGTAAATATATGTGGGTTTGCGCGTGCGTTGTAATGTATTTTTAATTTTTTGGCTGTTTAAGTGTCTTTTGCTGTGTTTTTCAGTGTTTTTATGAGTGATGGTCACTCATAAAAACTCGATAGATGTATTGTGTCCAAATGTGGTGTCAATTGGTCCAGTGGTTTTTGAGTTATGTTAATCCCACAAACGAACATTACATTTTTATTTATATAGATAAAATTGGAATTCTGGCCTTCTAAAACACTGTCCATTTTCTTTTTATGTGACATTCACAATTTGCCATGGACTCCGTTATCAATTGAATGCAGCTTTTCAGAAGGAAAGATACACCAAGCAAATGTTCTGCTTTCATTAATTGAGAAATTAGACGCGCAAATTTGAAATGCTTTGTCAGGAGCACATGATTTCCCTTGCATCCGTCACAGTCGATGGGTTCTGTAGCCTGGATCCAAGGAGTTGCTCTCAGCTCTCACCAAAATGCCTCTGTGCCTTCTAGGGACCACAGGAAACATATTGTACTCCCCTCCCCCAGTATAAACTTGTTCCAAACTTTAGCCTTCAAAATTCACTTTTATTTATGTATTGTTTTTTGTATTTATTTATTTATTTCAGACATTTATATCCCATCCTTCTCACCCCCGGAGGGGGACTCAGTGGGGCTTACAACTGGCAACCATTAGATGCCAACAACAGTAATAAAAACATACTTAAACATTAATTAAAACATTATCAAAAGTTAGAAAGACCATTCAAAAAAGTAAAGGTCTAGAGTCATAATACAAAATCTATCCATTATTAATCACCTGAATTTGTTTATAATTGTTACTGCTGCGACTGGAAAGCTTGGTCCCACAGCCATGATTTAATTTTCTTCCTGAAAGACAGGAGAGAGGGGACTGACCTGATATCATTAGAGAGTGTGTTCCACAGATGGGAGACCACCACCGAGAAGGCCCTGTCCCTCATCCCCGCCAAACATACCTGCAAAGGTGGCAGGATTGAGTGCAGGGCCTCCCCTGATGATCTTAACCCCGAAGTAGATCATAGAGGGAGATACGTTCAGACAGGTAAGCTGGACCAGAATCGTTTAGGGCAGTGGTTCTCAGCCTGTGGGTCCCTAGATGTTTTGGCCTTCAACTTCCAGAAATCCTAACAGCTGATAAGCTGGCTGGGATTTCTGGGAGTTGTAGGCCAAAACACCCGGGGACCCACAGGTTGAGAACCACTGGTTTAGAGTTTTATAGACTAAAGCCAGCACTTTGAATTGTGCTTGGGAGCAGACCGGCGGCCAGTGGAGCTGACGTAATAGAAGGGTGGTATGCTTCCTGTATCCTGCTCCAGTGAGCAATCTGGCTGCCGCCCGTTGGACTAGATTCAGCTTCCGAACAGTCTTCAAAGGCAACCCCACATACAGCAATCTATCCAGCATATAACAAGAGTGTGAACCACTGTGGTCAAGTCAGACTTCCCAAGGTATGGGTGCAGATGGCACACAAGTTTTAATTGTGCAAAAGCTCCCCTGGCCACTGCCAAGACCTGGGGTTCCAGGCTGAGTGATGAATCCAAGATCACTCCCAAACTGCAAACCCGAGTCTTCAGGGGGAGTGTAACCCATCCAACACAGGCTGTGACCCTATTCCCTGTTCGGCCTTTCGACTGACCACGAGGACCTCTGTCTTGTCTGGATTCAGTTTCAATTTGTTTGCTCTTATCCAGTCCAACACAACTGCTAAGCACTGGTTCAACGTCTGAACAGCCTCCTTAGTGGCAGATGGAAAGGAGTGACAGAGTTGGACATCATCCACGTATTCCGAAACTCCAGATTATTTCTCCCAGCGACTTCATGTAGATACTAAACAGCAGAGGGGACAGTACTGAACCCTCTGGGACTCCACAGGACAAAGGTTGTGGGGCCAATCAGGTGTCTCTCAATAACACCTTCTGTGACTGACCCTCCAGGAAGGACTGGAGCCACTGCAGAACAGTACCTCCAAGTCCCATACCTGCGAGGCGTCCCAGAAGGATACCGTGGTCAATGGTATTGAAGGTCCTTTTGACTACTCAAAACAGCTCCGCCGGACGGTTCTTTGCAGACACAATATTGGCCACAAAGAAAGATTTCTGTGTGGCTTCTATTGCCGCAGCATAAGTCCTTCGGCACATAGCTTTTAAAGAAACACCTTAGTTTTGTATAATTAGAATCATAGAGTTGGAAGACACCACAAGGTCCAACCAGCCCAACTCCATTCTTCCATGCAGGAAAAACACAATCAAAGCACCCTTGACAGATGGCCATCCAAAGAAGGTGCCTCCAATGGACTCTGGGGCAGAGAGTTCCACTGTTGAACAACTCTTACAGCCAGGAGATTCTTCCTCGTGTTTAGGTGGAATCTTTTGCAATTGAAGACATTGCTCTGTGTCCTCATCCTCAGAACAGCAAAAAACAAGCTTACTCCCTCTTTAACGGGCCATCCTTTCCAATATTTGGGGATCCAAACTCCAATTTTTGTTCTGGTCCCAAGCATTTTGGATACATGATTCACATCCAGTGTTTTTAAAGGAACGTTGTTGCATGGCATAGAACAGTGAAAGACAAGAGAATCCTGCCTGAAAGATTACAATCGGCAATCCTCCCTGTACACAAGTCAGTGAAAGTAGTGGTACTATAATTCAGTATACTGCAGATATTTTAAAAAACAGTATCCATTATTGAAAGGATATTGTACAACATAGACAACCAAATTGCAGCATGCAAGATTGCAGAGTGGAGAAACCAGATTTGCAAAAGTTCCTTGTCTGCAAGTCTTGTTTTAATAGCCTGTTGGAGGTGCCAGAGGAAGGGCAGAGAGTCCGGAACCTCCTCCAGTAGCCCACTGCATTTTTGTGGAGGAGAAGGCGTTCCTCCCTTTGTAACCAGCTAGTTTTCTGTCCTGAGCAATCTTTTTCTCCTTTGCCGAACTGTTCACTTGTCTGCATGAGACTGCGCCTCACCTGTGGCTACAAGGCAAGTACAAAGAAGGGATTAACAGGGACAAGTAGCAGAGAAGAGAGAAAACAGAGATTGAAGTGGGACATTTATTATATTGTCTGTCTCATGGGTAGAATCATAGAATAAATAGAATTGGAAGAGATCCCAAGGGCCATCTAGTCGAATCCCCTGCCATGCAGGAAAAGCACCATATAGAATTGTAGAATAACTTTCTTTTTGTACTGAATAACAGGTATTAATTTATTTTAGTGCTGCTTAAAGTTAACATGGTAAAAACCTCATCAAGAGGGCTGTCTGCAAACAAAAAGGGAAACATTGATCTGTGAACAAAAATGGAAAGCTTTGTTGATAGAAAGATTGTCATTCTCTATTTGTGTATAGGGTGTATCTGTGTATGCATGTTTCCTCATCAGCTTCCCTATGTGGTCAGTATATGGCAAGAACACTTTTCCTCTGGGTGGATCTTTGTCTTTACTCTCGTGGCTTGTTCTCGGTCTTGCAGCTATTCTGATGTCTGGGAACCACTGACCGCATAGGGAAGCTGATGAGGAAACACAACATACAAACTATCTACAGACCCACCAAGAAAATCCAACAAATGCTACGTTCAGCAAAGGACAAGAGGGATCCTCTCACCTCTGCAGGAGTCTACCGTATACCATGCAGTTGTGGACAAGTCTACATAGGGACCACCAAACGCAGCGCCCAAACACGAATCAAGGAACATGAAAGGCACTGCAGACTACTTCAACCAGAGAAGTCAGCCATAGCAGAGCACCTGATGAACCAACCTGGACACAGCATATTATTTGAGAACACAGAAATGCTGGACCACTCTCACAACCACCATGTCAGACTACACAGAGAAGCCATTGAAATCCACAAACATGTGGACAATTTCAACAGAAAGGAGGAAACCATGAAAATGAACAAAATCTGGCTACCAGTATTAAAAAAATCTAAAATTACAACAGCAAAACAACAGAGGGGAAACAATCAGGCACATCTAATCACCTCTCAACAAAAGATTGCCCCAGGCACTGCCAGGCCATCAAATGCTAATCAAGGTGGTCAGTTGAAACATTCACACCTAGCTCCAACAGACAAGAGTTCTTTGCCCACCCTGGTCATTCCACAGATATATAAACCCATTTCCTAGTTCCAACAGACCTCACTACCTCTGAGGATGCTTGCCATAGATGCAGGCGAAACGTCAGGAGAGAATGCCTCTAGAACATGGCCATATAGCCCGAAAAAAACCTACAACAACCCAGTGATTCCTGCCATGAAAGCCTTCGACAATACATTGTTGTTGTTGTTGTTGTTGTTGTTGTTGTTACAAAGGCTGGATGGCTATCTGGTAAGAAATGCTTTGGTTTGTGCTTTTCTTGCATGGCAGAAGGGAGTGGGCTGGATGGTCCCTGGGGTTGCTCCTATTACAACTACTACTAAGGTTGGGTGGCCATCTGTTGGGGATGCTTTGATTGTGCTTTTCCTGTACGGCAGAAGGGGGTGGGCTGAATGGTCCCTGTGGTTGCTCCTTTTACTATTACTACTACTACAAAGGCTGGATGGCCATTTGTCATTCTTTTCCTGCATGACAGAAGGGGGTTGGATTGGATGGCCCCCAGAGGTCTTCCACTGAAATACTGTTAAGTTAATGTAGGTCATAAAGTTTGTCCTTGCCTGAGATAGATAGATAGATAGATATGGGCCCGTGGTGGCGCAGTGGGTTATTCTGCTGAGCTGCTGAACTTGCTGACTGAAAGGTTGGTGGTTCAGATCCGTGAAGCAAGGTGAGCTCCCGCTGTTAGGCCCACCTTCTGCAAATGTGAGTAAATCAATAGGTATTGCCTTGGCAGGAAGATCATGTCAGCCACATGACCTTGGAGGTGTCTATGGACAACGCCAGCGCTTTGGCTTAGAAATGGAGATGAGCACCACCTCTCAGAGTCAGACACGACTAGACTTAATGTCAGGGCAAACCTTTACCTTTATATATAGATATGCACACACATACACACATACACGTTATATATAATATTTAATATAATATGTAAACATTTATTGGGGCTCCGTAAGAAAGTTTTGTTTCAAAAAGGGCTCTGCAGCTGAAAATATTTGAGAACCCCTGCTCTAAAATGTAGCCTATAACACCTGGTATTCATTGGTGGTCTTTCATCGAAGTACAAAGTGGAGCTGACCCCGTTTAGCATCCAAGATCACACATAATCTACACGTTGACTTCTGTTTATCCGATAATGGTGTTGTGTGACTAATATCATTATAATGGGGATTAAGATTAGGGATTAGTTGAATGACCTGTTGAATTAGTCAGTGAAAAACACCGACTAAAACAGTTGCTCCTTGTTAATCAGGTAATCAGATTATTTAATGTGAACCTCTTCTAGTCAAAGATCTAGAGGAGCTCTAGCAGGGGAATGATACTCAAATAGACTATCTTGCAAATCACATGCACATTATTCTGAAAACTAGAAAAGATTGTGCAGTTAGGCTTTCCTGTCTCTTTCTTTCCACTGAACCCTTTATCATCCCTGAAAACCCACTTTCAAAGATTGGTACATTCTCTAGAATAATATGGGAAGGACGCTGTGAGAGGACCATAGCAAGAAGGGGAAACTAGAGAAACCCAAATGGAGGCTTTGTGCAGATGGAAGCACATCTCTTTTCATGCAAGGCATATGATGGATTGGGACCCTTAACATATAAAGAGATATACCTTGCAATTAACCATTGTGCTGCTACTCTTACCTTGTTTCAAAGTCAAGTAAACAGTAGTTACTATATTATTGCCTGCAATTGTTGTGTTTTCTAAATGGGGACCTATTAGAAAAAAGTTCTTTTTGTTTCCAAATACTTAATTGAGATGACAATGGTATTTTTTCCTCTTTTTCCCTGAAAGGTTCCTTGCTTTAAGAATGCACTAAGTTGTTTATAAGAAGACCCCAGACGTGAACTAAAAATTCCACTATGTCAAAAGAAATTAAGGAACTCCAGAAACGATGGAACTCCATGATGGAAAGTGTTCACAGCAACCCTCACGTGAGTTATGGATTTCTTCATAATTGTTACCATGGTGTGCTTTTCTTCCCTTCTGTCATGGAACTCACCCCCCCCCCCCCCAATCATAACACTTTCAGTTGCTCACAGWTGACAAAGAGACCTTGCTCACTCACTATGCCATCTGCACCACTCCTTTTCCAGCTCTCTATCTGGCACTTCAAGATGTTTTTGCAATTTAAGAGTTGTCTTGGGGTTCTCTTCTGGCCATTGAAAAGATATCCAATTGCCCTTAATATAGTTCCTCATGTTGTGGTGATCCCCAACCATAAAATTATTTCTGTAGCTATTTCATAACTGTAATGTTGCTACTGTTATGAATTGTAATGTAAATATCTGATATGCAGGATATATTTTCATTCACTGAACCAAATTTGGCACAAGCACCCAATACACCCAAATTTTAATATTGATGGGGTTGGGGGGGGGGTTGAGTTTGTCATTTGGGAGTTGTAGTTGCTGGGATTTATAGTTCGTCTACAATCAAAGAGCATTCTGAACTCCATCAATGATGGAATTGAACCAAACTTAGCACATAGAACTCCGATGACCAACAGAAAATACTGGAAGAGTTTGGTGGGCATTGACCTAGAGTTTTGGAGTTGTAGTTTACCTATATCCAAAGAGCACTGTGGATTCAAACAGTTATGGATCTGGTTCCTAAGACACCTCTCCCCACCCTCGTGACCCTCCCCAGCGGTTCTGATGAGTTGAGAAATGCTGCCCTATATGAAGGGCATGCATGTCACTGAATAGTCACTAAATACGATGGTTAATTGTAGGTGAACTATAAATCCCAGCAACTACAACTCCCAAATGACAAATATGAAAACAATTTTATGGTTGGGGTTCACCACAACATGAGGAATTGTATTAAGGGGTCATGGCATTAGGAAAGTTAAGAATAACTGATTTAGACCTTCTTTGTAATGCCTCTCCACTTTCTTACTGCATAGCTATACAGATACTGATTTTGACCAATGCTACACTTAATAGGATAGTCTTGCTGCATTATTAAAGCACCCTGCCATGGGATGATAAGCTTGACCTCCAAGTTACACTTGGTTGTTGTTTTCACCTTCAGCGGAAGCCTGCAAATGATCCCTTCAACGTTAGCTCTTTATCTCTTCTATTTTATTGGATCTCATCTCTTTTTGTAAACAAAATAACCTTTGCTTTAATAAATTTATCAAAGGAATAGGTCTTCAGCGATATGCAGGGTAACATTTGTTATGTTTCCGTCCTTTATGTAGCAAGAAACACTACTCCAGCAGAGAGACCTTCATACTTGAGAAGATCAGTTAGCATGACTGGATGATTAGTGCAACATTCCATGCAGCTGAAAGCTTATTTCAGAAAGAACTCATCTTTCACGTCCTACTAGAACAGGCATGGGCAAACTTGGGCCATCCAGGTGTTTTGGACTTCAACTCCCACCATTCCTAACAGCCTCAGATCCTTTCCTTCTCCCCCTCAGCTGCTTAAGCGGCTGAGGGGGGAAAGGAAAGGACCCGAGGCTGTTAGGAATTGTGGGAGTTGAAGTCCAAAGCACGTGGAGGGCCCAAGTTTGCCCATGCCTGTACTAGACACTACTGAGATATGCTAACGTGGTTAACCTACTGTAACCCCAGCAATAACATAATTACATGTGAAAGCAAGTTGTGAAAGCAAGTTGTCCTCGTGGACAACAAGTTAAACATGAGCCAACAATGTCATGCGACGGGAAGAAAAGCCAATGGGATTTTGGCATGCAMAAATAGGAGTCTATTGTCTAGATCCAGGGAAGTCATGCTACCCCTCTATTCTGCCTTGGCCAGACCACACCTGGCCAGACCACCTCCATTTGATGTGGCTGCTGGCTATGAAGGTGGGCTTGGGAAACACTGGGCCAGGAGACATCACTTAACTAAGCAAATSTAACTAGCTGATGTATATACGAGTCTAGTGCCTAGCTCCAGGGAAGTCATGCTCCCCCTCTATTCTGCCTTGGTCAGACCACACCTGGAATCACACTGTGTCCCATTCTGGGCACCGCAATTGAAGGAAGATTTTGACAAGCTGGAATGCGTCTAGCAGGGGTGACTCAAATGATCAAAGGTCTGGAGAACAAGTCCTATGAGGAGCAGCTTAAAGAGCAGGGCGTGTTTAGCCTGAAGAAGAGAAGGTTGAGAGGAGACATGATGAGGGCCATGGATCAAGAGGTGAGGGGAAGTCATAGGACGAGGGAGCAGGCTTGTTTTCTGCTGCCCTGGAGACTAGGACGCAATGGAGCAATGGCTTCAAACTACAGGAAAGGAGATTCTACCTGAACATGAGGAAGAACTTCCTAACTGTGAGAGTTGTCCAGCAGAGAACTCTCTGCCCTGGAGTGAGGTGGAGGTTCCTTGTTTGGTGGCTTTTAAGCAAAGGCTGGATGGCCATCTTTCGGGAGTGCTTTGAATGCGATTTTCCTGCTTCTTGGCCAGGGGTTAGACTGAATGGCCCATGAGGTCTCTTCCAACCTTATGATTCTATGATTCTAATTTAATTTTTCGTGGAATAACACTCCCGCAATTGAGTACTTTTTTTCAAAAGCATCTTTTTTTCCTTCCATTTGAATTCTAGGTAGTTGCCTTTATGAATTCCCGAGTTGGACGATACTTGGATGACCACCCTTTTGTCGCCCTGTCCCTGCTGATCTTCATGGCAGCCTCCGCAATTCCTATCGCCTTCTTTTTGCTTTTTGTTGCTGTCACAGCTGTCACTGCCTGCGTTGGAGTGATTCTCATGGAAGGTATGGCTTGCTGTCCCCCAAATTGGTTTTCTGGTTACTAACAACATTCTTTAGTGCAAGACAATGTTTTCGCTTCTTGCCATACTTCTCTGTTACCTTTTTAAAAACCTGCAGGAAAATAGGCTGTAGGTGATCACAACTTTTATCTCCTAAGGCCCAGTCCAACAGCCCAGCACTTGCAATGTTGTGATTACTTCACAAGCCCATTTGTCAATTAATAGAATATCCATTCTTTGTGAGAGTTCTAGCTTGATTCCTCAATTTATCAGAAAATCCTAAAAGTCATTCCTCTTGCCCCTTCAAATCTTTTTCTCACAATAACAACCTTGGCAGTTTCTGGCTGTAGTTTTCAATCACTATGCACCTGGCCATAAACCTTTACTTACTAATTTTCTTACTTAGGCAATCCCTCATTGTCTGAGTATGATGGCCTTCCAAGTGTTGTGTCTTGGTGGTGAATATGCAGGTGACTGTGGAGCTCTATTCTTGACCCGCATGTTCTTCCACCATGAGGACATCGGTTTCCAGGTGGAAGGCAGTCCCCGTTAGGGTTGCCTTGACGTGCCTTCCTCTTTGTATATTTCTCCCCTTTGTCCTCCTTTTTGTGCCTCTCTAAATTGCACAACACTGCTGGTCACAGCTGACCTCCAGTTAGAGAGCTCGAGGGCCAGGGCTTCTCAGTTCTCGGTGTCTCTGCCACAGTTTTTAATGTTGGCTTTAAGCACATATTTAAATCTCTCTTCCTGTCCACCAACATTCTGTTTTCCAATCTTGAGTTGGGAGTAGAATAACTGTAGAATAACAGTGATCGGGCATTCGGACAACATGGCCATTTCAGAGTTGATGGCATAGGAACATCGCTTCAATGGTGGTTGTTTTTGCTTCTTCCAATACACTGACATTTCTCTGCCTGTCTTCTCAGGAGATTTTCAGAATTTTTCAGAGGCAGCACTGGTGGAATTGTTCCAGGAGTTGAGTGTGATGTCTATAGATAGTCCACGTTTCGCAGGCATATAGCAGGGTTGAAAGGACAGTAGCTTTATAAACAAGCACCTTGTTTATCCCTCCACAATAAACAAATCTAAGCTGATGACAGAATTTGGCATACATCAGAATCTCCAGTAAACAAATAGTGGAGCAATATACAGATGGTGATTTTAATAACTGTTTTTAAATTGTGTTTTTTCATGAGTTGGTTTTAATAACAATGTTATTCTATTGTCAGTGTTTTATTTTATGTTTATGTTCAAATGTCACTCTATGTTTTACATTTAATATGGTTAGGTTTTTAATTTATAATTATAAGTCATTATCTAGTTATATGTCTTGGTTTTCACATGTGTGTACAGCATTCAATTTTGCCATTATTGTGTTGGAATCTGCTTTAAGTCCACTCAGGGGGAGAAAAGTGGTATATAAATGCAGTAAAAAATGCCTATCTTGTCTGGCATAAATCTGCCCACAAAGCAGATAAATATGGCACTGGATGAGACGTGTAGAATAAACACAGAATGTCTCATACGTATACCAGTTGGTAGGCTCTATAAGTTAGCTGCCATTGCTCCCTCTGATGTGCAACTGAAAATTTCTGCCAGTTGCGAGAGAAATAAGGTTGAACACTGTGAAAGCCACCCACTGCATGGCTGTCAGTCTCCTCCAGTAGACTTAAATCAAGGAAAAGTTTCATGGGAACCACCAGTCCTCTAAATGTCCCTCCAACAACAGCAAGAATATCCCTGTGGGCAGCAAAATCAGGCTTTTCTAACTGGTCTTCCTCCAGGGGCAAACCAAGAATGGTTAACTTGGAAATCCCTGAACAGACTCAGAAGTGGAGTGGGCAGATCAAAAGATAATCTGGCAAAATGGCACAACCTAGAACAGGGGTAGGGAACCTTTGGCCCTCCAGCTGTGGTGGACTTCAACTCCCACAATTCCTTGAGGCTCGGCATTCGCCCCAAAGGCTTACCTTGGCCCAATGCCGAGCCTCAAGAAATTGTGGGAGTTGAAGTCCACCACAGCTGGAGGGCCAAAGGTTCCCTACCCCTGACCTAGAAGTATCCTCCACCTTGTTTGACTGTGGAGCAGAACAAACAACCCAGCATCTGTATGTTTGCCCACAATGCCCTGCCTCATGCACAGAGGAAGAACGGTTTAAAGCTGCAGACAATGCATTCGCTGTTGGCCGTTTTTGGTCTAAAACTATTTAGTTGCTTGTGATCCCTTTATTTTATCAGTTTTAAACTTATTTACTTATGCAATGCTTTTGACACAAAATAAATAAATAAACATGCAAATATAGTTAGAAAGCATAACAAGCTCCATAATCCAATTATACAAGGCAGATACAAGAATCTAAAAAGATAAAAGGAAAGCATGGCATGACTCGTGATCCTGACAGTCAGTGGGGTAGTGTCTTAAGGCTGTTGCTGATGCTAATTGATTTCCTTTTTGGACCAAGCCCCAAAGCAGCTGACAGCCTTAAAAAACCGAACAATTTCAAAACCTACAAAATCTAAATATTGAAAACCAAACATATAGAACCAACTGTTTCTTGCTTTTTGTAGGGCTTTTAATCTCGCTGGGAGGTGTCACCCTGTTTTGTGTGCTTGGCGGATTGGGAATGCTGTCCCTTGCAGTGTCTGGGGTACTGAGTGTTTGCTACGTGTCTCTTACAACTCTGCTGAATTACTGGCCCGTTCCAAAGTGAGTATTAAGAAATGGGGTGACAATAAATTGATCTTCCCACCTTCTTCAGTAGTGACTGTAATTTCATTAGACCTGCAGTATTGTTGTTGTTTTCATCATTCAAATGAGTAATTCAAATAAAAGTTGCTGGGAACGGGAAGGGAGGGCATTTAGAAGCCAGGATTAGGTCCAGGTGGATAGACTGTGGACTGGGTTTGCAAGACTTGAGCAGGTCTGATGATTAGGATCTGTCATTCATAGGGTCATCGTAAATCAAAGGTATCCCAACAGTAACTATAACAATATTTATACAGGAAGTAAACTACAACTCCCACCATGGTGAGTCAGTCCCTTCAAACCCCTCCAGTAGATTGAGTTAGTCATTAACTGTGTCCCAAGTTTGGTCCAGGTCCATCATAGGTGCAGGTCACAGTTTCTCTGGTTCTGGATGAACTACAACTCCTATAAAAGGAAGGTCCGTTCCCCACAAGCCCCTCTCCAGTAATCAAATTTCAGCATATCAGGTATGTGTACCAAGTTTGGTCCACATCCATCCGTGTTTGGGTTCACAGTGCCCTCTGGATGTAGGTGAACTAGAACTCCCCCAAATCAAGGTGAATTTTCCCCAAAGACCTCCAGTATTTTTGCTGATCATGGAGGCTCTGTGTGCCAAGTTTGGCCCAATTCCATCTTTGGTGGAATTCAGAGTGCAGGTGGAACAATAAATCCCAGTACCTACAACTCCAAAATGTCCAGGCCAATTCCCCTCAAAACCCACAAGTACTGAAATATAGGCATATTGGATATGCATGCCAAGTTTGGTCCAGAGCCATCACTGTTTAGGTTCATAGTACACTCTAGATGTAGGTGAACTACAACTCCTATAAATCCCTCCAAAGACCTCCAGTATTTTTTGTTGGTCATGGGGGTTCTGTGTGCCAAATTAGTTCCAGGTCCATCGTTGGTGGAGTTCAGGGTGCTCTTAGATTGCAGGTGAACTATACATCCCAGGACCGACAACTCCTATAAATCAAGATGAATTCTCCCCAAAACTCTCTATATGTTCAGTTGCTGATCAATTCCTCTGTTTGCTGTGTGACATAGAAAAGAATAGGAAAGAGTTATGGGAGAGGCAGTGGGTGGGGTCATGCAAATTCCACACCAATGGAGAAAGTCAGAAACACTGGGATGGTGGAGAAAAACACTGGGATGGTGGAGAGAAAACAAAATCTAGGACGAAATTGTCCCTGTTTGAAAGCTTTTACTTGGGTGGTGGGCAGTGTGGTGTTTGCAGAGGACATTGACAGGGCTCTTGGACATGTTTACAGCACTCTATAGCCTGCAATGTCATTGGAGGAAGGACCATTGGTCTCCTGAATAGTGGGAGCTATAGCTGTTTGTGGAGCTGTCTGTGTAAGTGGACATCCCAGCCACATACACACATACATATTTTCACTTTTTATTTTGTGTATAGATTATTGCAGCAGCATTTCTTCATTTAATATCGTTTTTTGCTCTCAAAACAGAGGGGGCCCTGGGGTTTAATTATCTAGTAAACACTACATCTGCCAAACCACAAGCCGGCAGCCTCTTAACAGTCCATTTTTGTATCGGTCCTTTGCACTAGAATAATGTGACGTTGGTTCAAATGTACCCTAACCTCCTTCAGGAAACTCTTTTGTGTTTCGCCCATAAGAACATTTATGCCAAGACAATCAATAGGGTCTTGACAACCATTCTGATGCAGTTGAAACCTAAGGCAAATTTATGCCTAACATGCCATGTGTAAGAATTAAAAAATAATAATAGTACTGCTAAAATGCCATTATTACCCATCGCTTCAAGCCAAAATACATAAGCTGCTGTGGAAAAGCTTTGAGAAGCTCTGTGGACTGTGATACCTGAGAGAAATAGGCTGTAATGAGGAATCTTTTGGAAAGTCTGGGTAATAGGCATGCTAACCTAACATGACTTGGATTTTTCTGTGCCATAAAATCAGAAATCTTTTCTTTTTTGCCTGTCTTGCAGCAGCCTGTCAAAAAAAGAAATCACGAACGGAAGCGCTTTCTTACCAAGCAGTCCTCCTGACTTAGACCAAGATGCAGCTAATAAGAAGAGTGAATAAATTGAAGCTTGGAGTCTGTTCTTGGAAAACACCCAGAGCATTGTTACATTTTCAAAACATTTAGAATGGTAAAGGCTTGGTTTGGCGCTTATAGAAACCGGAGGGCGATTTTTCCCTCCTGGCATTGTTTATAATGACTGGACCCTCGTTAAAAGTGTGAGTAACTCTTATCCATTTAGGGTACATCCATGTCTGCTGGTTTTACAGCTTGTTAAACTTGAGAGTTGGAAAGTCTTATACCTGGCAGGAGTTAAAACTCAATTGTGCAGGTAACCATACTTTTCCAATTGTGAAAACTTAAATCCAAGCCTTAAGTTTTCTTATATTGTAACAGAAAATGGAGCTTTTAACATACAATAAGTAGAAAAAAGACTGCCTCTTTTATGAATGTGGACCTTTTTTAAAAAATAGCTTAAGCACTTTTGTTCTGTGTTTTAAATTATTCAGAAATGATAAGCCTAACTTTTTTTTCTTTTTGTGGTATTGTGAGTTTGTGAGCTCTGCAAAATACTAACTGGTTCAATATTGTGCCTTATTTTATCTGTGTGAATACATATATTTTGTGCCAGGTGTTTCAACACCATCAAAACATTTTTTAAATAATAACATTATTATATTATTGCCTTGCTTCAACTTATAATGTTGTTGTCAGATAATTAAAAAAGCTTCTGGCTTATCAACTCGCTTCTGACTCATTCAATCAATAAATAGATGATTCTTTAATGTGTTGTTGAAGCCTTTCATGGTCAGATTCACTGGGTTGCTGTGTGTTTTCCAGATTGTAGGGCCATATTCCAGAAGCATTCTCTCCTGACGTTTCACCCACATCTATGGTAGGATCCTCCCAGGTAGGAAGCAGCCAGGATTTGAAGCTGCAAGGTGGCCAGTTGCAACATTCACATTTGCCTCCAACAGAGAATTCTTTATCCCACCCTGGACATTTATACAGATATATAAACCCCACTTGCCTAGTTTCCAACAGACCTCTCAACCTCTAATTATGCCTGCCATAGATGTGGGTGAAATGTCAGGAGAGAATGCTTCTAGAACATGGCCATACAGCCCTGGAAAACCCACAGCAATCCAATGATTATTTTTAAAGTTTGGTTTGTAGCATCACACTTGATGTGAGAGAGTGTCTGTGAGAGGCAGCGGTATGTTTGTGTTGGTAATCTCAGCTCCACCTATCTATGTGAGAGATCACCTGCTTCCACAGAAGGCAGTATACCCACCGAAAGGGCTGAGGGATGTAGCCTTCCAGATGTTTTTGGCCTACACATCCCAGCAGCCCAAACAGATCCAGAAAATGGTGAAGAATTGTAGGGATTGCAGTCCAGATATTTCTGAAGAGCCACAACTCTTCACTCAGATCACACAAACCGCTAGAATGGATGTTTGTTACAGTTTGACGATACGTACAGATGAGCAGAAGATACTCCTTTCTATATTCCAAAAAGAGGAATACCAGTAGAAGGAATACAAAACCTAAATTTTACTCTTGTGCAGCAGAGTTCATGGGGGAAAACAGCAACTTCAATACAGCAGAGGGAATTCATTGCTTTAAAAAAATCCTGTTTTGTTTTAAAATCAACAAGGAAGGGTCCACCACCCTCCAAGGAAGACTATTAGGGAAGATGGCAGAGTTGGGTCCTTCTTTGTATTCTCTGTGACCCACACCAATGGCTACATAGTGGGTTACCTGTGCAGTAAATCCCCTAGATCCTTCTAGAGCAGTGGTTCCCAACTTTTTTTTATCAAGGACCACTTGACCAGGGTCTACTTGACAAAGGACCACTTTGACCAGGGACCATCCTCCAACATTAGTACCAAAAGGGTTACGAATCGGTTTTTGGTCAACTTTAGATTCGGTTTGGTTATTTGGGGTACTGATTCAGAAAATTGCATTAGATAGACCACATCAACTCTAGTTTCTGATACAGAACATATACCATCCAGTAGTTGCCATCTGCTTGCCCACAGAAAACCATATTTAATAAGCCTCGGCACTATAAGAGGGCTTCATTACTACGGTATAGTAATGGTGAGGCCGCAAACCATATTTTAGTTCTTGCAGACCACTGGTTGTCCACAGACCACAGGTTGGGAACCACTGTTCTAGAGCTATTACATAAATGTTTGGGTTCACTTCCTGTAAAGCCTCAGTTCTTTTTCTGGTGCTGCTGCATCAAGAAGCATTTGGAGCTTTTCATGTTTTTTATCTGCCTGTAACTTCTGTTTTGACTTACTTCAGTATTTGGATTATGTTTGGATTTGTTGTTTTGGCTTTGACCGTTGTTTTGGCTTCATCTCAGACTGGACTTTTGATCAGTTTTGGGACTATGATTAGGACAAAGAAGCATCGGTGGTGTCAGCTTCTCCTGCCATTTAAGCTTCGTAGCTTCGTTCAATTAATTTGCATCTTGCGGAGCGAAAACTTCTGAAAAGGGATGGCCACTTGAAGTATGGCATCTTTTAAGGGGGAAGGTCACAAAGGAGATACTTCTTCTCACTGTAGAGTGGTCATAATAGGGTTGTTGTAGGTTTTTCGGGGTATATGGCCATGTTCTAGAGGCATTTTCTCCTGACGTTTCGCCTGCATCTGTGGCAAGCATCCTCAGAGGTAGTGAGGTCTGTTGAAGTAGGAAAATGGGTTTATATATCTGTGGAATGACCAGGGAAGGGCAAAGGACTTTTGTCTGCTGGAGCTAGGTGTGAATGTTTCAACTGACCACCTTGATTAGCATTTAATGGCTTGGAAGTGTCTGGGGGAATCTTTTGTTGAGAGGTGATTTGATGTGCCTGATTGTTTACTCTCTGTTGTCTGTCATAATAGGACTTTGAGGCTTGAAACACTCTAATATGAGAACACTTTGAGAGTGGCTACTGGCTGTGGCTGGGTTTTGGACTTCAACTCCCACCATTCCTAACAGCCTCAGGCCCCTTCCTTTTCCCCCTCAGCCGCTTAAGCTTTCAGTCGTTAAAACCATTAAATGCAGTGCAAGCCAGGTCAAAGAATTCTAGACAGAGGTAAACAGTGTAATGAGAATTATTGATAAGCAATAATTGCTTCTTGCCTGTGTCAAAGAAATAAATTAACCCAGGCTCAAGTGACATTTAAGCTTGGACTGTTGGAAACATGAAGGTAGGATAGCTTTTGTTCATTTTGTTTAAGGGCTCGTACACTGAAGCCAAATGTTGTTGGCATGTTGTGGTGTTTGTTGTTGTCGTTCTCTGGAGTTTTTTTTATATACAGTAGAGTCTCGCTTATCCAACCTTCACTCATCCAACGTTCTGTATTATTCAATGCAGTCTGCCTCCTGCCTGGACCCACAGTTGTTTTGGTGCTAAATTTGTAAATACAGTAATTACTACATAACATTGTGGTGTTTTGGTGCTAAATTAATAAATACAGTAATTACTACATAACGTTACCGTGTATTGAACTGCTTTTTCTGTCGATTTCTTGTAAAACATGATGTTTTGGTGCCTAATTGTTAAAATCATAACGTAATTTGATGTATACAGTAATAATCTTTTGGTTATCCAGGATCTGAAATGCCCAACACCAGCTGTAACTGGGCTTGCCAGGCCAGACTGAGTCCAGGCCCTGAAAAATCAATGCCCAAATCTAAGAGAATGATGTCCAAGGTTGATGTTTCAAAGTGAGATGTACCAAAACCGAAATTAGTGTAGGAGGCTACACAGAGACTCTATTACATAGCAAAATCAGTGTAGGTAGGAGTTGTTATTGTGCATCTGTGAGTGTTATTTTTTAAATTACAACTCTTTATTTTCCTTTCTTTCTGATTGCCCTGTACTTCTATAGAGTGGATCCAGTAGAAGAGAGGGAAGTAAATTGCCTCTACTGTAAACAATACATCCAGTAGAGAAGGAGAAAATAAAGTGTTGACCAGCTGTTAGGAGCATTGTGCTGGGTTTACTAGTTTGGAGAAAAAAAGCTCTCCTAAGTACTAACTCTCTGCAGGACCTTATAGGCTAAAGCAGTGGTTCTCAAGCTATGCTCCTTGAGGCTCCGAGAGAGGTGCTCAGGGCTCTGCGGGTGCCCCATCACCTCTGGGATTTTTGCTATTATTATTATTACGGGCGGCAGCCAGGTTAACTGGGGCTCCTTACAGGGAGAGGTCATCCATCCTGTTAAAGGAGCTCCACTGGCTGCCATTCATCTACCGGACCCAATTCAAGGTGCAGGTTCTTACCTTCAAAGCCCTGAATGGTTTGGGACCCGCCTACCTGCGTGACCGCATCTCTGTGTATGAACCCACATGACCTCTTCGTTCATCTGGAGAGGCCCTGCTCTCAATCCCACCAGTATCGCAGACGCGATTGGTGGGGACGAGAGAGAGGGCCTTTTTGGTGGTGGCCCCTCGACTATGGAACTCACTCCCTAAGGACATCAGGCAGGCCCCAACCCTGGCAGTCTTTAGGAGGAGCTTGAAGACGTGGTTGTTCCAGTGTGCCTTCCCGGAATAATGTTCCCATAGCACTTTGTCCCTCCAAAGCACTTTATATTTTTATAGTCTGCTCGTATGTCTTCCACAAACGCTACTATCACCTTTTAGTCCAGGCCTCAGCACCATTTCCAATTTTAATTTTTACATTAGGCCTTCCCATAGTTTTTAATTTTATGTTGTCTTATTGATAATGTAATCACACCAGGATTGTGGCGCAACTGGCTGAGTGTCATAGAATCATAGAATCATAGAATCAAAGAGTTGGAAGAGACCTCATGGGCCATCCAGTCCAACCCCCTGCCAAGAAGCAGGAATATTGCATTCAAATCACCCCTGACAGATGGCCATCCAGCCTCTGCTTAAAAGCTTCCAAAGAAGGAGCCTCCACCACACTCCGGGGCAGAGAGTTCCACTGCTGAACGGCTCTCACAGTCAGGAAGTTCTTCCCCATGTTCAGATGGAATCTCCTTTCTTGTAGTTTGAAGCCATTGTTCCGCGTCCTAGTCTCCAAGAAGCAGAAAACAAGCTTGCTCCCTCCTCCCTATGCTTCCTCTCACATATTTATACATGGCTATCATTCTCCTCTCAGCCTTCTCTTCTTCAGGCTAAACATATCCAGCTCTTTAAGCCGCTCCTCATAGGGCTTGTTCTCCAGACCCTTGATCATTTTAGTCGTCCTCCTCTGGACACATTCCAGCTTGTCAATATCTCTCTTGAATTGTGGTGCCCAGAATTGGACACAATATTCCAGATGTGGTCTAACCAAAGCAGAATAGAGGGGTAGCATTACTTCCTTAGATCTAGACACTATGCTCCTATTGATGCAGGCCAAAATACCATTGGCTTTTTTTGCCGCCACATCACATTGTTGGCTCATGTCCTGGCAAGCCTGAGCTCGTTTTGTGCTTTAGCCTTGCGGACCTTTTCCCTACAGGTATTGGCTATTTGTTTGAATTCTTCTTTGGTGATTTCTCCCTTTTTTCACTTCTTGTGCATGTCTCTTTTGTGTTTTAGCACAGTTAGAAGTTCTTTGGACATCCATTCTGGCTTCTTTGCACTTGTCCTATTTTTTCTCTTTGTTGGCACGGTTTGCAATTGCGCATTGAGTATTTCACTCTTGAGAAATTCCCATCCATCCGTAACTCCCTTGTCTTTTAGTATCTGTGTCCACGGAATGCTGCTCAGCGTTTCCTTCATTTTTTGGAAATCAGCTCTCCTAAAGTCCAAAATGCGGGTTTGACTTGTCTTAGTTTCGGCCTTCCTTTGTACCTCAAATTGCAGGAGCACATGGTCACTTGCCCCTAAGGATCCTACCACTTCGACCGCATCGATCAGGTCCTCCGCATTTGTTAGGATGAGATCAAGAGTAGCCAATCCCCTTGTTGCCTCTTCTACCTTCTGGACCATGAAATTGTCTGCAAGGCAAGCGAGGAATTTGTTGGACCTTGTACTCTTGGCCGAGTTTGTTTTCCAGCAAATATCGGGATAGTTGAAATCGCCCATGACTACTACATCTCTTCTCTGTGCCTGTTTGGTCAACTGTTGGCAGAAGACTTCATCAAGTTCTTCCTCCTGGATTGGGGGTCTGTAGTAGACGCCTACAACGACATCTTTTTGAGTCCCAGTTCCCTTGATTCTTATCCAGATGATTTCAAGCTGGTTTCCCAGATTGCTGCTGAGTGTCAGCTGCATTAAGATCACTCTGACCAAAAGGTAATGAGTTCGAAGCCAGCCCGGGCTGGAGTGGGTGTCCAGCCATTGTGTAGCCTGTTGTTGACCTTTGCAACCCGAAAGACAGTTGCATCTGTCAAGTAGGAAAATAAGGTACCACCTTGTGTGGGAGGCTAAATTAACTAATTTATGAGGCCATAAAGAAAACTCCAGGATGTGGAATGCGGAAGAACTTCATCAGTGTCGCTGATGGACGATGAAAGCAGCAGCTCCCCTGGCGGCCAGAAAAAAGTTAAATAGCCTCTGTGTATTGTCTGTATTCGTTGTCTGTCAAACTGGCATTGAATGTTTGCCATATATGTGTATACTGTAATCCGCCCTGAGTCCCCTGCGGGGTGAGAAGGGCGGAATATAAGAACTGTAAATAAATAAATAAATAAATAAATAAATGTTATATGTTTATCGTCTATGTTTTATTTTAATTGCTTGTATTGTTGTGATTATTGCTTGTATTGTTGTGTTTGGGCTCGGCCTCATGTAAGCCACACCGAGTCCCTTGGGGAGATGGTAGCGGGGTACAAATAAAGCGTTATTGTTATTATTATTATTATTACTACTACTATTACTATTACTATTACTATTAAATACACAACAAGATGAGTACACAGCAAACAAGATCGTTATGCTGGCTGTTATATTGGATCACACGTCGGACACTTCCCAAGTATCTAGGACTATGTGATATATAGGTAAATAATAGGTGCAGCTCCGAAGAGGGTAGCCTTTTGTATCTGACATATGGTAATTTTGTTAGCCCCAATTGTTTTCAAGTGCTGGCCAAGGTCTTTAGGCACTGCACTCAGTGTGTTGATCATCACTGGGACCACCTTGACTGGCTTGTGCCAGAATCTTTGCAGTTCGAACTTTAAATCTTCGTATCATGTAATCTTTTCCTGTTGCTTCTCATCAATTCTGCTGTCACCTGGGATTGCAACATCAACGCTCCATACTTTGTTTTTTTCCATGATCATGAGGTCAGGAGTATTGTGATCCAAAGCTCTGTCAGTCTGAATTCGGAAGTCCCAGAGTAATGTGACATTTTCATTTTCTGTAACTTGTGATCCCACCATTTCTTTGTCACAGGCAGATGAAAAGACTAGGTCATGTGGCCAGCATGGAGCGCCATTACTTTCCCGCCGAAGAGGTACCTATTGATCTACTCACATTTGCATGTGAGAGAATTGGCCATCTGCAAGGACACTGCTCAAGGGATGCCTAGATGTTTTACAATCCTGTGGGAGGCTTCTCTCAAGTCCCCTCATGGGAAGCTGGAGCTGACAGATAGCAGTTCACCCTACTCCCTGGATTTGAACAGCTGACTTTTTGGTCAGCAGTCCAGCCAACACAAGGGGGCTCCATGGCTTGTGGCGAACATTCACGGAGCAGCATTAAGGGAATGGGTGCCTCTCAATGTGGGGCTCAGGCTGAAATTCTTCTTCAGGTATCACAAGTTGAGCTGGCAGTCATTTCATACCAAAAATTACACATAGAATTTCCTCCAAGCATCTATTTTTTTAGGCAGCTTATTGAGAAACAAGAAAAATGGGAGCCTTTTTGAAATTACTGTCATTAAAACAACAGAGAGTCATAAACACTTGTTGATCTACTTCAGATCATCCAGGGATTCAGCAGTAGAGCTATTGTATTGTCGAAGGCTTTCATGGCCGGAATCACTGGGTTATTGGAGGTTTTTCGGGCTATATGACCATGTTCTAGAGGCATTCTCTCCTGACGTTTCACCTGCATCTATGGCAAGCATCCTCAGAGGTAGTGAGGTGACCTCACTACCTCTGAGGATGCTTGCCATAGATGCAGGCGAAACGTCAGGAGAGAATGCCTCTAGAACATGGCCATATAGCCCGAAAAAAAACCTACAACAACCCAGTAGAGCTATTCCTAAAAAGGTAACGAATTTCCCTTGACATTAAGTCTAGTTGAGTCTGACTCTGGGCAGTGGTGCTCACCTCAATTTCTAAGCCAAAGAGCTGGCATTGTCCATAGACACCTCCAAGATTATGTGGCCAGCATGACTGCATGGAGCGCCATTACCTTCCTGCTAAAGCGGTACCTATTGAACTACTCACATTTACATGTTTTCAAACTGCTAGGTTGGCAAAAGCTGGGGCTAATGATGGGAGCCCACCCCATCCCACAGATTTGAACCACCGACCTACCGGTCAGCAAGTTTTGCAGCTTAGTGGTTTAACCTGCTGCACCACCACAGCCCCACTGGGAGTGATAAAAATGCCTTGTTTCACCTGTGTGGATTCAGCCTTAGGGATCAGTCAGCAGAAAGTGATTCCACACAAAAGGAAAGACGATGAGTGTGTTTTCTTCCATCAGTTTTTGAAACATGAAAAAGGACCAAAATCCACCAAGATAATAGGACTGGAATGGATTTGGGATTTTTTTTTCCCAAGTGAGAGAAAACAAAATGATTCATGCCTGGCTCTGTCTCTCTCTCTCTCTCTCTCTCTTTTCATGCATGCCAAATTGCCACCAGCACCTCTCCTCCTCTTTACAGGTGTTGATACCTCCAGTCCAACTGTGTCCATTCCAAGTTTGGTACAGCTGTGCCAATTCCCCAGGAAAATCAGCACTTGAGTCGGCTGTGCTCGCTGTAGAAATCTTTCTTTATTTTCCCAGCTCTGCAGAGATAATGAGAGATGACTGAGAGCCCAGGCAAAACTCAACTCTGCTCCCAGCCTTCCAAAGACACTAAAAGATGTTGCATGGATGCTGGTCTCACTTTTTGTCTGCTTTTGGCTCTGGTGTCAGCTCTGCCCTGAGGGTGGTGCAGAGAGCACATCGAGAGGTGTGTGTTTGCGTATGTATTTTCTTTCTTTACAGCTCCTTTAACACGCAGGCTGTAGCAAGGGCATGAGAGTTGCACCTGCTTTTGCAAAAGGAAGCAGCTTGGAGAATGGCAGCTTTAGAGCATCTTCGAGGGACCCAGACACTCTTCTGTCTCTCTTTCTTCCTCATGCCTCTTCCAACCTTTGAGAGAACCTAGATTTTTCCCCCCTGCCTGAAGGATGGATTTCCTGGCAAATCGCAGCTTTAGCGCAAACAACTCCATGCTAAATATTTCTAACCCAGGACAAAACTTTTCCTACAACGGTGAGTACGAAATGTGGGGGAGATGCATAGTGACTCTTTCAGCTGCAACTTTCTGAGATCTGCAGGCACTAGGGGTCTAATATGTGGGGCTGAATGACAATTATAGATGACAAAATACTGCGCTGCCTTGATATAAAGAGACATAAATCTTTCGTCATTTAGCTTGGTTGCTCACCTTTCCTTCCAGTTCTTTTCTGAAGCCTTCAGCTTAAGAGATCAGAAGCACCAAGTTAGATTTTGCGACATACAAGCCAATCATGCAAACATACATGTCAGGAAACGGTAGTTGCATTTGAACAGCTATGTAATAGTATCATGGAATGTGCAGGATTGTTTTGATATGCGGTTTTATGAATATACACAGTGCATGCCCCATTACTGCAATTCCATAGAGCGGTAGGACTGTCAAGGCAGGATTATGGGGTAGCCCAGTAAGAATGAGAAATTGGGCTGGTTTGACACATTACAACGCAGATGAACAAACCTTTCTGCTTAAACAATTCCACCCACCTCCTAAGACTATTCATCCCATTGTCTAAAATCACCTTGCTGTATCAGCAAGACATATATATGAATTTGCACTGTTGCTCTATTTCTGAGACATGCTTTTTCTTTCTGTAGAAGACATAAGCATCGTGCTGTTTTCTTAGAAAAATCAAGGAGGATGCTCTAACCCAGTGCCTTTGAAGCCTCCCGATGTGGGAAGCTTGGGATTTATTTCCCCAAATGTATCAGGGAGAACAAAGTAATATGTTTGTGTAGCTACAGTGGTTGCTTTCTTCGCTGGAAACTTGACAGGGGCTGGCACTGGACCATGGACCACCTCTTGAAGAAAAATCGCTCTAATTGGTCTCTTGTGTCCCCCAAGTCTTTTCAGATAGCGCTCTGCCTTATACAGCTGTTTCTCCGCTTAGAACAAGCCTGAAAGACAATTTGAGTCCCGCTGTTGCTTCTCTCCAGCAAGAGAACAAACAGGTGGAGTGGGTTCTTTATTTATGGAGTGGGTATTTATTTATTTACAGTATTTATATTCTGTCCTCACCCCACAGAGGACTCAGGGCGGATTACAATGCACACATACATGGCAAACATTCAATGCCATTTAGACATACAACATATATAGGCAGACACAGAGGCATTTAACATTCCAGCTTTTCTGACTTTCACGAGCGTTCGATTCCCGCCGCAGGGGGAGCTGCCGCTTCACCATCCATTTGTGACACCAGGTCCTTTGATGGAGTACTTCCTCATTCCTCTGCATGCTTCTGGAAGGTTTTATGGCATCGTAAATTAGTTAAATTAGCCTCCCCGCATAAATCGGTATCTAAATTTCCTACTTGACAGATGCAATTGTATTTCGGGCTGCATAGGTCAACAGCAAGCTAGACTATTAATGGTCGGGAGCTCACTCCGACCCAGGCTGGCTTCGAACTCACGACCTCTCGGTCAGTGGAGATTTAATGCAGCTAGCTACTAACTAGCTGTGCCACAGCCCAGCAATGACATGCTGAAACATACAATTATGGCATAAATCAGGAGGGAGAGAGACTGTGGATGTTTAAGACCCACTTTGCTTCCTACACGAACCTCTCAGTCCACAAAGCAAAAGACAATGCAAGTAGTGGCTTGTGTTTTTTTTTTCATGTCAGTAGTGACCCAAGAAACTGCAAATCTCTTCTGATATGAGAGAATTGGCAGCCTGCAAAGACATTGCCTAGGGGATGTCCAGATGTTTTACGATCCTGTGGGAGGCTTCTCTCAAGTCCCTGCATGGGAAGCTGGAGCTAACAGATAGGAGCTCACCCTGCTCCCTGGATTTGAACAGCTGACTTTTCGGACAGCAGTCCTGCCAGCACAAGGGTTTAACCCATTGTACCACCTGGGGCTTCGTGACTTGCGGTGAACATTCACTGAGTAGCATTAAGGGAATGGATGCCCCTTAATGTCGGGCTCGGGATGAAATACTTCTTTAAGTATCACAAGTTGAGCAGGTAGTCATTTCATGCCAAAAATTACACTCTTAGATTTTCCTCCAAGTGTCTATTTTTAGGCAGCCTTATTGCAAAACAAGAAAGGGGAGCCTTTTTGAAATTACTGTCATTAAAACAACAGAGTCATAAACACTTGTTGATTTACTTCAAATCACCTGGTGGCGCAGTGGGTTAAACCCTTGTGCTGGCAGGACTGAAGACTGACAGGTCACAGGTTCAAATCCGGGGAGAGGCAGATGAGCTCCCTCTATCAGCTCCAGCTCCTCATGCGGGGACATGAGAGAAGCCTCCCACAAGGATAAAAACATCAAATCATCTGGGCATCCCCTGGACAATGTCCTTGCAGACAGCCAATTCTCTCACACCAGAAGCGACTTGCAGTTTCTCAAGTCGCTCCTGACACGACCAAAAAAAAAAACCCCCAGGAATTCAGCAGCAGAGCTGTTCCTACATTCTAGCTATTTATGACTCAAGCTTTCCTAAGCCATGGTCCCCTTCATGAGATGCTCAAAAGACAAGCAACCTTTTCATACAAGTCCAGCATCCCTTATCGGGAAATCCAGAAACCAAAAGACTCCAAAATCTGAAATTGTCCAAATGAGTGGCTGAGACAGCAAGACTTTCTAATTGTTTAGAATGCGTGGAGTTTTCTGCACAAAACTACCAGAAGTAAAAATATTGTATAAAATTATTTTCAGTCTTGGTCTATATAGGCATGGGCATCCTGTTTCACTTTAAGTGGCTGAGGGGGAAAAGGAAGGGGCCTGAGGCTGTTAGGAATGGTGGGAGTTGAAGTCCAAAACACCTGGAGGGCCTAGTTTGTCCATGCCTGGTCTATATGGAAAATAAATACAGTTCATGTTAAAACTTGGGTCCCAGCTCCAAGATAGATCATACATATATGCATGATCCAAAAAAACCCCCCAAAAATCTGAAATCCAAAACACTTCTGGTCCCAAGCATTTCAGAATAAGGGATATGCAATCTGTGTTTAAAACACTAAGAGATGGAAAGCAGGAGAGTACTGTAATTTTTTACAGAGTATGGCAACCTTCGCAGGCAGCAGATGCATTTGGATAGTAGAGATGGTTCCTCTTTTTCTTGTACTGCCGAGGCAATAGGGATGTCGGAAGAGGAGAGGCTGACTACCCACCAGAGCCATTCCATGTGGCGGTTGGAAGCGGGGGCACCTTGGTGTCTTCCTGGAGTTATTTGGAGTGCTGATTCAGAAAATTGCATTGGATAGACCATATCAGCTCTAGATTATTAAATATGGTTTCCTGTGGACAAGCAGATAGCGACTACTGGATGGCATATGTTCTTTATCAGAAACTAGAGCTCATGTGGCCTGTCCAATGCAATTTTCTGAATCAGCACCCCAAATAACCAAACCAAATCTAAAGTTGACCAAAAACTGAGAAAAACTGATTCATAACCCTTCTGGTACTAATGTTGGAGAGTGGTCCCTGGTCAAAATGGTCACTGGTCAAGTGGTTCCTGGTCAAAAAAATGGTTGGGAACCACTGCTCTAAAGCAAGTGCAGTTAAAACTGAATCTGTTTTCTTCCTGGGAGCGTTAATATACTTTGGCTCAACCAATATAATGACTTGGACTGGCTCCAGTGTCCTAGGACTATTTATTGATATTGTTCTGAACTGCATGATCATAATTCAATATTACTTTGTATTTTCTCCATCTTTTCTTGGGTAGGTGATGCTCTCCACCCCTTGAGCTATTCTGCCTTTATCATGCCCACCCTCTTTGGCATCATTTGCCTCCTGGGCATCGTCGGCAACAGCCTGGTGATCTGCACTGTCTTTAAGAAGCCCAGCCCCAGCAGCAGTGTGCCGGACATCTTCATTGTCAATCTTTCCATGGTGGACCTCCTCTTCCTCCTTGGCATGCCCTTCCTCATTCACCAGCTGTTGGGCAATGGAGCCTGGCAGTTTGGGGAGACCATGTGCACCATCATCACCGCCTTGGATGCCAACAGCCAGTTCACCAGCACCTACATCCTCACGGCCATGTCCCTGGACCGCTATTTGGCCACCGTGTATCCTTTCGCCTCTGCTCGCTTCAGGAAGCCCCCAATTGCCATCTCGGTCATCTTTATACTCTGGGCCTTCTCCTTCCTCAGCATCACTCCTGTCTGGATGTACACAGAGCTCATCTCCCTGCCAGGAGGACTTCTCGGCTGCGGGATTAGCCTGCCGGACCCTCAGCGAGACATCTACTGGTATACACTTTACCAATTCTTCTTGGCTTTTGCCATCCCTTTTGCCCTCATCACAGTGGCCTACAGAAGGATATTGTTGAAGATGGCAAAGTCTTCACAAGCGCTGACCGGTCAGAGATGTAACAGCCTCCGGACCAAAAGAGTCACGCGGGTTGCCATCGCCATCTGCCTGACTTTCTTTGTTTGCTGGGCCCCCTTCCATGCTCTACAGCTAGTCCAGCTGGCCATGCAGCAACCCACCTTTGCTTTCTATTATGCCTACAATGTGGCCATCAGCTTGGGCTATGCCAACAGCTGCTTGAATCCGTTCATTTACATCTTGCTAGGACAGAGGTTCCCCAGGAGGATCGTTGTCTCTGTGAGGCCAGTAGATGTCAGAGAGGATCCCTCACAAAACAGGGTCAAAAGTCCTCGAGGGGAAGCCAGTGAATCTGGGCAGCCCCTGTTGCACTTGGTCTCCGTTGGAGCCAGATGAAGATGACAGAGGGGTGCATACGCTGTGCATGCTTCGGTTAGTTTGCCGCAGGAATGAACAGTCCACCAATCGTTGTGTTGAACTTCCTAGCTCTGAATGAAGGCAGATATGAGCAGATGCAGCCGAGGCAAATCTATGAGATGAGCTCTGGCTCAGTCCAAGCAAGTGGGCACCATGGAGATGCCGCCATAATTTGCAGAGCAATGGCAAAACAAACAGAAGTGGAGAAAGAACCTTTCACAAAGGCTTAAATAGGAAACAAAGCAAGTGTCTGGATTAAGCAACTATTCAGTGACAGAGTAGATTTCCCCTGACATTATGTCCAGTCATGTCTGACTCTAGAGGTTGGTGATCATCTCCATTTCTAAGCTGGAGAGCCGCCGTTGTCTATAGACACCCCCCAAGGTCATGTGGCCGGCATGACTGCATGGAGCGCTGTTACACATTACTCCTCAACAAACTTGCATATGTTCTTGACCTGTTTAGATTCCAGACCTTCATGGGAGCTGGATGTTTTGTCTTTTTCCTTCCTCAGTTTTGTTAATTCTGACTGCTTGCTTCTAGTGATTGACCTCAAAACATTTGAAGTCTTGGTCCTACATTTCCATTCACTTCCCTGGGACTGCCGCGCTCTACTAAAGCCACACTTTCCTGGCCCTTGCTGCTTCTCCACACAGGGTACCTGTATTTGCATTCATGGAGGATCAAAGTATTTCTTTGCATAGTGGAATTTGTTCAGAAAATATCCAGCGATGTCAACCAAAATGAATGGATTTACAGGCTCCAGTCCAGCATACCTGTCCAAACGTATCTCCTTCTATGTCCCACCTGGGAGTTTAAGATCTTCTGGGGAGGCCTTGTTCTTGGCACCGCCTGTTTCAAACATGCTTAGTGGGGACAAGGCACAGGGCCTTCTTGGTGGTGGCCCCCCGCCTGCGGAATTCACTCCCCGGGGAAATTAGGTCATCTTCATCCTTCCTCACCTTTAGAAAGAAGGTAAAAATGTGGATGTGGGACCAGGCCTTTGGGTAGCGGAAAATGACAATGGCAATGTTGACAATGGCTTTGAAATGGATTATGGATAAGTTAAATTGAGTACTCAATCACAGAATTCAGCTAGATAATGGCCACCAGATTGGCAATTGTTAGTAGATTTTAAGTGTATTGTTTTAATGTTTTTAACTATTATAATTATTGGTTGTTTGTATTTTATTATGAGGCACCGAATTGTTGCCGACCGGAAGCCGCCCTGAGTCCCCCTTAGGGGGTTGAGAAAGGCGGGGTACAAGTATTCGGAATAAATAAATAAATAAATAATAAAGGGGGGTGAGACGGGTTTGTGGATTTCACCATCAACTAGTCATGATGCCTATGTGTTACCGCCACCATACCGTTTTTTCTCAGCATCAGCAGATGGAGAACGAAAACATGAGCAGACTCTTGCAGTCAAGACTTGCTTGGACCATTCCCAGAAGAACCCAGTTGGCCGTTGAAGGAACTGAATGCAATATTGGACACAAGCCTGATCCAGAATAAGCTCTTCTTATTTGGGTGATCTTGGAAATTTTGTTCATTTATTGCCATGTGGCAAGAACCTGGCAGAAGAACTAGGAACAGGAAGATCCGAAAAAGAAAATTCTCCCAAAAATCGAGTTGGAGAAAGCTATGTTAGAAATTGTATGAGATTGTAAACCAGGCATGGGCAAACTTGGGCCTTCCAGGTGTTTTGGACTTCAACTCCCACCATTCCTAACAGCCTCAGGTCCTTTCCTTTTTCCCCTCAGCCTCTTAAGTGGCTGAGGGGGAAAAGGAAGGGGCCTGAGGCTGTTAGGAATGGTGGGAGTCGAAGTTCAAATTTGCCCATGACCGTTCTCCATAAAACATCTAGAGCAGTGTTTCTCAACCTGGGGATCAGGACCCCTGGGGGGGGGGGTCACAAGGCGGTGTTAAAGAGGTTGCCAAAGACCATCAGAAAACATAGCATTTTCTGTTAGTCATGGGGGTTCTGTGGGCGAAATGTCAAGAGAGAATGCTTCTGGAACATGGCCATGCCGCCCGGAAAACTCACAGCAATTCTATCGTTAGTGGGGCTCAAAATGCTTTTTGTAGGTGAACTATAAATCCCAGCAACTACAACTCCCAACTGTCAAGGTCTATTACTCCAAACTCCACTAGTGGTCACATCTGGGTTTATTTATTTATTTATTTATTTATTTACGGCATTTATATGCCGCCCTTCTCACCCCGAAGGGGACTCAAAGCGGCTTACAAGATTATACACACACACACACACATATACATATATATATACATACACAATATATATTATATTATCAGCATAGCACAATATCCGCATTATATATTACGATATTGTACTATACCATTATATTGCAATATTCCCAAATTAGGTGAGATCCCTCCCTCCTGGCTTTTAGAAAAAAATTAAAATCATGGTTCTGGCACCAGGTCTTCAGATAGTAGATGTATGCAGCATTTTAGAGGGAAATTGACTGGAATGGCGATTTGACTGACGAGACTGTTTTATTGCTTTTAATGCTTGTTGATGTATTGTTTTGTGATTTATGTTTAATTGTGGTTTTACTATTGTAATTGTTTGTATTGGCATTGTATTGGAGCCCAACGTAAGGCATTGAATCTTGCCATTATTTATGTGTAAACCGCTTCGAGTCCCCCCAGGGGTGAGAAAAGTAGTATATAAATATAATAAATATAATAAATAAAATAAAATATATAATAATAATATTGTATTATTATTAGTATTATATTGTATTACATTATAATATTATAAATATTATGTGAATATATATTATGTTATGTTATGTTATGTTATATTATATTATTAGCATAGCATGTTGAGTATTCATACCAAGTTTGGTCTGGATCCATCATTGTTTGAGTCCACAAATCTCTCTGGATGTAGGTGAACTACAGCTCCAAAACTCAAGGTCAATGCCCACCAAACCCTTCCAGTATTTTCTGTTAATCATGGGAGTTCTGCGTACCAAGTTTGGTTCAATTCCATCATGACTGGAGTTCAAAATGCTCTTTGATTGTAGGTGAACTATAAATCCCAAATGACAAAATCAATCCCCCCCTCCTAATTCCACCAATATTGCGTATTTGGTCCAGTGAATCAAAATACATCCTGACTATCAGATATTTACATGATGATTCATAACAGTAGCAAAATTAGTTATGAAGTAGCAATGGAAATAATTTTATGGTTGGGGGTCACCACAACATGAGGAACTGTATTAAAGGGTCACAGCATTAGGAAGTTTGTTTTTGTTTGTTTGTCTGTTTTGCCATGTCAGGAGTGACTTGAGAAACTGCAAGTCACTTCTGGTGTGAGTGAATTGGCCGTCTGCAAGGACGTTGCCCAGAGAATGCCCAGATGTTTTGATGTTTTATCGTCCTTGTGGGAAGCTTCTCCCATGTCCCCACATGAGGAGCTGGAGCTGACAGAGGGAGCTCATCCGAGCTGTCCCCGGATTCGAACCTGGTACCTGTTGGTCTTCAGTCCTGCCGGTACAGGGGTTTAACCCTCTGCGTCGCCGAGTTGAGAAACACTGATCTAGAGGCCAAGAAATTTATGAGATGATCACTCACTCCAAGGGAAAAGTTTCCAAGAAATATATTCTAGGAAAGAACTTGGAAAATTGAAAACACGGCCACTTACTTGATCTGTAGTAAGAGAAATGTGAAAGCCTTGTTTCAGTTTTATTAAATGCATTAATAATCCAACCCTACTTTATGAATACAGAAAGCTTCCTTAGCTTCAGCTAAAAGGGAGACACCCACAAGGATATGGCATGCTTTAAATACTCTTAGTTGGCACTAAAATAAAGAAGTGACATTGGAGATGCATCTGTCTACACAGCTAATATGAAAAGCAAAGTTTTGAAACATGTCATATGTCAATATTTTATTTGGAGATCCCTCTTTGATCTTGTTTAATCTTTGCAGAACTGTATGTCTATCTATAAATGCATTGACTTTATGACCAATTGAGCAATGACAACAAGAAAGTTGTAGTAACTTTTTTTCTTGGGCTTTGTTGTTGTTGTTCTTTCCCCGCTTTGGACTTCAAGTAAAGTGTTAGTATTGTCAGTGTTATGTTGGGCTGTGTTCTGGAATGCCTTAAATAAAGAACTTTCTTCCTTTGTTCATTGAAAATGGAGAATCAATTCAGCATGAAAGACTGACGCAGCGAAACTCTCAAGGGTGAAATTGAATCTTCTCTTTGCTCTCAATGCCAAAATGTAAGAAATACATTTCTCATCCCTTCCAAACCCTAGAAACCCCAGATAGAAATTTCCCAATTTTGAGGAAAAGAAAATATATAAATAAATACACAACAACAAGTGGTATGCATAGTGAATATGATGGCTTTTTTGTCAGATTATATAAGAAACTGAATTACAATTCATAGGAGATAAGTTGCTACCAAACCAGAAGGAATTACACGTTGACTATGCCTAATCCAGAATTCCAAAATCTATTTTTTTAAATGCCTAAAACAGTGACACTTTGCTTTCTAACCATTTAATGTACGACTTTGGGTTGCTGTAAGTTTTCCAGGATGTATGGCCATATTCCAGAAGCATTCTCTCCTGAAGTTTTGCCCACATCTATGGCAGGCATCCTCAGAGGTTGGGAGGTCTGTTGGAAACTAGGCAAGTGGGGTTTATAGATCTCAGACTTTGCTTCATGCACAAAACTATGGAAAATATTATGTATAAGATTACCTTCAGACCATAAGGTGTAATGCAAAGATACAGAATGGGGGACAATTATTTATTATTTATTTATTTAAAACATTTATATTCCGCCCTTCTCACTGGCAGGTGAGAACATATCTAGGGCAAACATTCAGTGCCAGGACATAAAATCATAAATATATACAAACATTAAAATCATTTATATTCACATTAAAAGTTGCTTTAAAACCATCTCTGGACACCATTTTGCTTCACTGCGCTACCCCAAAGGCTTGGTCCCACAGCCAGGTCTTCACTATCCTTCTGAAGGACAGGAGGGAGAGGGTTGATCTAATATTGCCAGGAAAGGAATTCCATAACCGGGGGGCAATCACTTAGAAGGCCCTGTCTTTCATCCCTGCCAAACACACCTGTAATGGTGACAGGACCAAGAGCAGGGCCTCCCCAGAAGATCTTAGTTTCCGCAGTAGTTCGTAAAGGGAGATGCGTTCAGACAGTAAACTGGGCCGGAGCTGCTTTATAGGCCAAAGCCAGCACTTTGAATTGATCCCGGTAGCAAACAGGCAGTCAGTGGACCTGATGTAACATAGGAGTTGTGTGCTCCCTGTATGACACCCCAGTTATTAACCTAGCTGCCTCTCATTGGACTATTTGAAGCTTCTGAACCGTCTTCAAAGACAACCCCACATAGAGCACATTGCAGTAGTCCATCCCGGATGTAATGAGTGCGTGGACCACCATGGCCAAGTCTGACTTCCCAAGGTACGGGCGCAGCTGGCACACAAGTTTTAATTGTGCAAAAGCCCTCCTGGCCATCACTGCAACCTAAGGATCCAGGCTCAGCGATGAGTCCAAGAGGACTCCCAAAGCCTGGCTGGACATTGTATGTGTGAAAAAGATCTTGGAGTCTTCGTGGACAACAAGTTAAACACAAGCCAACAATTTCATGTGGTAGCTTAAAAAGCCAATGAGATTTTGGACTGCATAAATAGGAGTCTAGTGTCTAGATCCAGGGAAGTCATGCTACCCATGTTCTATTCTGCCTTGGTCAGACCACACCTGGAATCATGCTGTGTCCAGTTCTGGGCACCACAATTGAAGGCAGATGTGACAAGCTGGAATGTGTCCAGAGGAGGATGACTCAAATGATCAAGGGTCTGGAGAACAAGCCCTATGAGGAGCGGCTTAAAGAGTTGGGCATGTTTAGCCTGAAGAGGATTATATGTTTCCTGATGGCCTTTGGTGACCCCTTGGAAACACCCTTGTGACCCACTCAGGGGTTCCGACCTCCAAGTTGAGAAATGCTGTTTTAAGAAATCTTCATTTTGAGGAACTACAAAGCTCATCACGTAAAAGGGAATGGCCCTGCTTCCCATCTTGAAATCTGGCAGTTCCTTAAAACGTCTTCAAGCTTCAGAAATTGTTTTGGCCCATTATTATTATTTTTTGGTCATGTCAGGAGTGACCTGGTGTGGGAGAATTGGCCGTCTGTAAGGACGTTGCCCAGGGGACGCCCGGATGATTTGATGTTTTTCATCCTTGTGGGAGGCTTCTCTCATGTCCCCGCATGAGGAGCTGGAGCTGATAGAGGGAGCTCATCCACCTCTCCCCGGATTTGAACCTGCGACCTGTCGGTCTTCAGTCCTGTCGGCACAGGGGTTTAACCCACTGCGCCACTGGGGGCTCGGGGTTTTAGCCGATGTCTACTACGTATCCCCAAACCTGTAAAATGACCAAATGCATTCAACGCTACATGGAAGTGTGGCTTAGAATGCATGCAATTATAAACATGGCAAATTGAATCCTCAAGGAAATGTGCAACTAGTGTAAATATAACTCTGTGGGTCTAAAGAAAACGACTGAGCAGATATTCAGAAGCAAAACAACAAACATTGAAAAGCAGGTAAGTGAACTGGTTCAGGAGACAAAGAAACTTGTAAAAGGTCTGAATTGCCAGACGGCAGA